GGGGGGGGGGTAGAATATCTGTTCAAAGGTGTATGTGTTCAGTCTGCTTAGAGATGCTGTCAGCCACAAAGCATTTTAATATAAATCACCACTACAACACGTCGCACAAAGCTAAATGTGAGAAGTTTTCTGAACTCAACAACTGCAACTTTTACCAGAGCTACAACCATGCAGGTGTCTGCACTCAAGGCATCTAATGTGATATTCAGCTTTCCAAAGTGTTATTTTTTGTTTGCTTCAAATGTTTTGTATCATATTTATTAAACAAGAGTACAACTTTAGATGCATTTGAGCATGAAATATGTGCAGTTACTGCGGTATGTTGCCTTAAACATATGCATCATACATGCCAGTGAAACACAAAAGACCACCAGTCCAGACGCTGCCTCCTAGTCAAGTTAACAAATATGTATTAATTAGGAGTTAATCATAGTACAGACTCTGAGCATCTAACTGTTTTGCATAAGATTGTGTTTAAAGTTGTTTTCAAGTTTGATCAAATTTGATCAGTTCAAAGTTGAGCTAACCTAACTCTAAAAAGTTTGGAATGAAAGGTAGTACGAGTCATGTATTATATCCGTTATTGTTTAACTTTTATTTCTTAAAAAATCATCTACTTAAGTAACTTAATCAGCAACTGTAACTACTAAACATCTAGAGCTCAGAACTGAATATTAATTTGATCTAAGTCACAAAATGAACATTTTTATGAGGTTAAAGTGTTTTGATGTACCGGGGTTTTAGACGTTTAGCAACAAGTTTTCTGGAAATCCAAAATCCTAAATAGGAAATATTGCACTTCTGCCTAAAGATTGCAGCAACAAGCAGCCGGGGCATATTTCCATGTTTCTAATTCTGAGGCTGCGTAACTGGAAGGAGTAGCAGCCTTTGATTTATATTCAAATGAGAGGTATACAGAGGAAATTGGATTTCTCTTTCATTTCAGAGAATGAATTTCCTGGCTGCAGATAGTATTGAATCATCTGCTGGTGTTAATATCCAGCTCCGAGTGTCAGGAGCTACTCCTCATCACAAAGAAGGGGAGGAACTTTTCCACCCCCTCGTCACTGTTCTCCATCTCAGCCACCAATGTTCAAACAATACCCCCCCAGGCCATTTAAGACATTTGCAGCCATTTTAATTTACACATGAAAGGCGATCACATATGAAAGGAGTTCTACTTTACATTCAGACTGCTTTCTGTTTTCTGTCCCAGCAGAGTCAGAACTGGGCAGAGACAGGAGGAAGGTCCTGTGGGTGAGACTGGGATTAGGATGTTTGTGGTCTGATGAAAAATTAAACCACGTATCTAAACATTATCTATTTTAGCCTTTTAAAGTAAATGAGACACACATTTAATTAGTCAGCGTTTGTTCTGGAGGAATAGGTTCTCAGCAGCTAACAAGATGGTGTATCTGTCAGAACACAGGAAGGACAGGAGGTCTTCACTGAACTCAGCAGCTTTATTTCCCTTTAATGCTCAGTGCTGACAGTAGTCTGTCATTACAGATCATTTTAACAGTAGGCCACATGTATTACAGCAACAGAGATCTAACTAACAAGAACTTGAATATATCTAATAAAATAAACTTAAATGTTTGCGCATTTACATGTCCACAACATAAAATAAAATAGATCAATATAAACATTCAATCCCCTGACTTAACCACAAAGATAACTGAAATTAAGCACAGTTACAGTGAAACTGGGTCCTTTATTAAATTTAAAATGTGTAATGCCTGGACGACTACATACATAAAGCAAAACAACACATTTCAGAGTAGCCTTTTATTGTGGCCAGCCTAAGGCACACCTGTCTGATCAGCATCTTGACAAGCCACACCTGTGAGGTGGGATGGATTATCTTAGCAAAGGAGAAGTGCCCCCAAGAAAATGTACACAAATTTGTGAAAATTTGAAAGAAATGGTTATTTTATGTAGAAAATGCTTTAGATCTTTAAGTAAAATGAAAAATGGGAGCAAAAACAAAAGTGTTGCATTTATATTTTTGTTCAGTATACAGCGGGTAAAATAAGTATTGAACACGTCACCATTTTTCTCAGTAAATATATTACTAGAGG